CAGCCATCTCTCTCCTCCTCCTCGTCGCCCTTTTCTTCTTCTTCTTCTTCTTCTTCTTCTTTTCCTCCTCCTCCTTCTCCTCCTCCTCTACTCCAACTACTCATGTCGTCATCGCTGCGCGGCTGCCACGTCAGCACGCGCCTTTTTTTTTTTAATCTTCTTCTTGTTCTTTTGTTCCTCTTCTTCTTCTTCTTCTTCTTCTTCTTCTTCTTCTTCTTCTTCTCCTTCTTCTTCTTCTTCTTGTCCTCCTCCTCTTCTCCTCCTCCTCCTCGCCATTTTTTCTCCTCCTCCTCTTCTCCTGCTCCTCTTCTCCTCCTCCTCCTCGCCATCTTTCCTTCTTCTTCTTCTCCTCCTTTTCCTCTTTTCCTCCTCCTTTTCCTCTTCTCCTCCGCCTCTTCTTCTTCTTCTTCTTCTCCTCCTCCTCTTCTCCTTCTCCTCTTCCTCTCCTCCTCCTCCTCTTCTTCTTGGTCGGTCGGGAGTCGGGACCTTCTCCTCTTCTTCTTGGTCAGTCGGGAGTCGGGACCTCCTCCTCCTCCTCCTCCTCCTCCTCCTCCTCCTCCTCCTCCCCAATCGGGACCTCCTCTGTTGTCGGGACCTCTTCCGTCGTCGGGGCCTCTTCTATCGTCGGGACCTCCTTCGTCGTAGGGACCTTCTCCATCGTCGTCGTCGTCGGAGGTCCCGACCGACCAATCAATCAAGCAAGCAAGCAAGCAATCAATCAATTAATCAATCCCGTCGAATCTATTGATTCGACAGGATCTTGGCAGTTCATGATCGTGTCGAATCAATAGATTCGGCGAGATTGATTGATTGATTGATTGGTCAATCGGGACCTTTTCCTCTGACGACGACGACGACGGAGGAGGTCCCGACGACCGAGGAGTTCCCGACGATGGAGGAAGTCCCGATTGAGGAGGACGAGGAAGAGGAGGAGGAGGAGGAGGAGGAGGGAGAGGAGATCCCGATCGAGGAGGAGGAGGAAGAGGAGGAGGAGGAGGAGGAGGAGGAGGAGGAGGTCCCGACCGACCAATCAATCAATCAGACACCGGGGAGGTTCAGGGGTACCACCTATGGCCCCCCCCTTCCCGACCCCTATATATATATAAATTAAAAAAAAAAAAAACGTTCGCGTCCGCTGTTTTTTGGAGCCTGTTTGCGTTCGGGCGAACGTGTTCACGTTCGCCGGCGAACGCGAACGGGGTGCTACGCAGGTGGGGATAAGAAAGAAGCGAAAGACAACGACGAAGAGACTACGAAGCGAGAGAAGGAGGTGACTCTCTTGGCTCCCAGTGGGGTTGAGTGCAGTAAGGAGGTAGGTAGGGGTTTGTTAGTAGGGCGAACTCAATAGTGGGGTTAGTTTTGGAATAAAGTTGGGAAGAGGACGATTAGTGAGAAAATCAGTGCGCGGACCTATGGCGGGGAGGAAAGAAAGTGGAGAGTGAAATTGCTATAACTCTGCCATATTTTGACCGTTTCTTGTGATCTAAGATGCAATCCCGGGGTTTTGACCCCGGGCGAATCAGATGATAACGACAAATTTTGCACCAGATTAGTGTATAGAAAGGGTAAGAGAGAAGTGATGCCCTTGAAAAGAGAGATGGCAGAAGCGGGAAGTGGAATACCCCGCTTGTCTCTTGAACTTGAAGTCATTAGGCAAGATAAGAGGGTAACTGCGAGTTTTGATGATGACCGAATCCGTTGCTAAAGTTGGATTTTGGATTCAATGGGTAGTTTGGGCGATGCGGTCTAGAGAAGCTGCAGTCGGGCAAGGAGGCTGAACAGGCTGGCGATGAACCTACCCCTGCTATAGCAGAAGATTCATGCAAACGCTGCTCATCCAAAGAAGCGTGAAGCCGGTCGCTGGTTTTGGAGACTTATTTGTTACCTCGATGCGTTGCCATCCTATCGAAGGTAGGATCCCTCCTCTGCATGCACGACTGAATGGGAGTAGCGTAGGTCCATCCACGAAGGAGGTTGCGACTTACTTGTTGGACGGGGTGTTACTCTTTCTATCGGAGGGAGGCTGCGAGCGGGCCAGACCGTGAAGTTGGATACTTTTATACGGTTGTACCTGCCTCATTGTACGGGCATATGCATGTGGAAGAAGATGAGGGAGTAAAGAGGGGGAGTGATAATTACCTGGCTGGGGCATGCCCGCGATCGATAAGCACAATAGCAAGCAACACTAGGCAACACAAGTGGTCGTGCGGTCCTGCTATCGACCGAAAGATTCATGCTGGTTCGACCACTTTATTAGAGGAGATTGCGTGTGCCCGGGTACAGAAGTGGAGACTTACTTGCTGGCGGCTGCACTGCCTACCCCATTGGTCGGAGAAGTGAGAACAAGGCAGTGGGACAGAAGACTCACATGTTGACCACTGTACTATCAAGCAAAGCAGGTCATAAGCTTGCAGGCTAACCTCTTTGCCTGTGGGCTGTCGCCTCAGTGATTTAAGGCGTGAGGTAGGCAACTGTTGCGAGTTGGGGATTCGACAGAGTATCATCTCCTCAATGCATGGCCGCGAGTTGGCTGGTTCTTGTGTGATTTGAAGAGTGGTCAAACCGAAGAGAAGGGGGGGGGGGGCACTACTGCAATTTGGAGGGTCGTCAAAGGGTCAACAGGCGACGGTTTGACTGAGAGGAGCGATACTGAAACTTAGAAGGGTGGTTAGGCTTCTGATAGCGGGTATCGCTGCGACGTAGAGGCTCATCAGGAGGGGCTGTTTCAACAGTTTGACTTCGGCTTGACTAGGCCGTTGCGATTATCGGCCATCATTGCGGGGACCTCAGGCGACTAAAGTTATCAAGCCCCTCTCCAGAGAGTTGAGTTGTCCCTTTCCTGTATCTCGAGAGTCTGAAACTTCTTATCTTTTGCCCTTCTTACTCTAAGTCTAGTCCTATTCTGAGAGGAAGGCGGTAGATGGGATTGCAACCCGTAGGACCGCAACAAGACTCTGTGGGGAGTCGGAACCTAGGCGAGGTTCTGGAGGCAGGGAACTGGCAGATATATCTTTCTTTACCTGTATGAACCCACAATGCCCCTATTTGACTATTTTCTCTTAGTTTGACTGACTATATGCGTGCAATCCTTTATGATATTGCCGTCTTTCAGGATTTAATCAGACTAAATGGAAGGAATGGGTGTGAAAAACTTAAGTTTCTCTTTGACTGAAAGCAGACTGAGGGATGAGCTGGGGGGAGGTGGGAGGAAGGCAGTTTGCATACGTTTGACCGGGTCAACCAAGGACTGGGTATTGTTTCTAAGCTGAATGGCCCAGGGCTATGTTTATTTGGCTGTTTTCTGAAGAGCCAGACATTGTTTCTAAGTTGAATGGCCTGATTGCTGTATTTATTTTCGGAGGGCTTGCCTGATTGGAAGGGTTTAAGTTCTTGTTTTATTCTGAGGGAGGATTTTGGTCTAAGGCTAAGCATTGTGTCTAAGTTGAATGGTTAAGCCTGAAAACCACGCACATGAGTATAAACTGAGTATAAACAGGAAGTACTAGTTTATCTACACTTGCATGTGAACCGGCAGTTGGATATTGTTTCTAAGCTGAATGGTCCAACGCTAAGCCATATCACTAAGAAGATAAGAGAACGTACTAAGTATACAATAACTTCAGTTAAAGCAAAAGCTAAAATGAGTAGGGGTTTGAGGTGAGTCTCTGCCCTCCGAACCGTACGTCGGAAGTGTACACTTTTGATAAATCTAAGCTGTGCCCTAAATCCCACAATAAGTGTCGAATTTTGTTGCTCATGTGATAGCATAATGCTAAGAAAGCTAAATAGAACAAACTGAAGATTAACTAATGAAAATAACAAATCAAGTAAAAAACAAACAAAACAGTAGAGTTGCTCCGTCCAAGAAATCACAGGAAACACTTCTTTCGCAAACTGGTTTTGTAATACAATCTCACAAAGGTTCCGCTGTACATCGACTCATCAGTGCTTTGGTTCCGTTGATTTCATGTTGGGTCCCGTAGTCTGATTTCAGTCAAAGAGAAACTTAAGTTTTTCACTCCCATTTCTTCTATTTAGTCTGATTAAATCCTGAAAGACAGCAATATCATAAGGGATTGCACGGATACAGTCAGTCAAACTAAGAGAAAATAGTCAAAAAGTATTCAAGATCGCGGGAAGGGACCTGGGTAAACGTCTAAGTGCGAAACCAGACAAAATTCCGCTTGGCAGTAGTCCGTAGCGAGATGGACATGACTTATTTTATTTATCCAACCGCGTGGTTGGAGACACCCAAGTCTGTATTTTGTCTTGAGAAGCTTTGCATAATTAATATCAATATCATTTTATATGATTATTTTTTATATCATTATTATATGATAATATAATAAAATATTTAATTTATTTTTATTTTAAATAGACTATAATGGTAGAAACACCCACCGCTGGATCTGTTATCTTAGCAGGAATTCTCTTAAAATTTGGAACTTACTTTTTTACGTAAATCAAATTTGAATGAAATTTTAATTATTAAAAAAAAAAAAGAAGAATATTCAGTCATAGGCTCGACTCTTTCTTCGAGCCTAGCGGTGGAACTTTTGACTCTATTCGTGTTTTAATGAAATTGTGTACCCGTAAAAAATAGTCCGGAAATCCTGGCCTTACGGGTACCACCCTTGAGTTAGTTTTATATTTCTGAAGCAAGTTCCTGGGCTTAACGGACTTGAACCGATAACCCGTAGGAACAAATTTTAAGTCTGTCGTGTTTACCATTTTCACCAAGTGTAAGTCGGTTCACTCTCTTTGAAATAATTTTTCCTTGTTCACTTAAAAATCGACAAAGTAAATCTAGATTTTTATAATCTATTTTTTCTCATGACTTAATAGGTGGCAATCGACGACGGGATCGTTGTTTTTGAATTGTTTTTTTTTTCATTACTCCTAGTTTCAATGGCAGGCAAGAAGTATAACAAACAGCGTACGTTCGCGCGCTTCCCCACGTATAGTATAATATAAAATACGGGTTAACTGTAGGACGATACATATTCTAGATGTACATTTTGTTTCATTTCACACGAAGAAATTCATTCAATTATCATTCATTAATTATATCAATTATATAGAGAAAATCAAATATAAACAAAATTCATTCTTTAATAAAATTTGAATCAAATAGTTTTATGTAGTAGATTTGTTGAACCCACTATGCCCCTGTTTGACTATTTTCTCTTAGTTTGACTGACTGTATGCGTGCAATCCCTTATGATATTGCTGTCTTTCAGGATTTAATCAGACTAAATGGAAGGAATGAGTGTGAAAAACTTAAGTTTCTCTTTGACTGAAAGCAGACTGAGGGATGAACTGGGGGAAAGTGGGAGGAAGACAATTTGCATGCGTTTGACCGGGTCAAGCAAGGACTGGGCATTGTTTCTAAGCTGAATGGCCCAGGGATATGTTTATTTGGCTGTTTTATGAAGGGTCAACCATTGTTTCTAAGCTGAATGACTTGGTTGCTGTATTTATTTTTGGAGGGCTTGCCTGATTGGAAGGGTTTAAGTTCTTGTTTTATTCAGAGGGAGAATTTTGGTCTAAGGCTAAGTATTGTTTCTAAGTTGACCTGAAAACCACGCACATGAGTATAAACTGAGTATAAACAGGAAGTACTAGTTTATCTATACTTGCATATGAACC